GCAGCCCCGACTATTTTGCCGTCGCCCATGTCCGTGTATGAACCATACAGAGACACATACAAATTGCATTTCTAGCATTGCCATCGAAAAACATAGTTTTATTGCTTCCTTTTTAAAACAGTTTCTGAAGAGAGAATACAATACAACCATTCTGATTAACACATATAAGATTCAGATTTTAGATTCGCAAATCGTAATCGAGACGGGAAGCTATATGAGGACCTTAGGAGAACGCATAACTTGTCAGTTGACACGAATTATTATCAGTGAAGATCTTACCGGACCCAAGCAGCCCTAGCTCGAAGGGCCCGCCAGCTTGTCTTGGATGAGAAAGTTGAGGCATCATGGGTGACCAGTGGGGTCATGCATCCTCATAAAGATGCTGGACGGGACGGCGAGAAAGGTGGCCAACAGCACTTCGATGAAGTGTGCGAGTCTACTAAACTCAAGGTGGTGATTAGTCTGAGTCAAGACAAATGAATACTATTACAGTCATGAGATAACTTGTATGAGATACCCATAATGCCCTTGCACGATCTCATGAACAGTTACTGTCGATAGTCATCATGACTCCATGCTTGACATCAGTGTAACATCAGTGTAACTGTACATAAAACTGTGTTGTTTACAGTAACATTGCGGTTTTGCAGAGATTCACATGTGATATAAATGAACAATTTATATGATTTAGATAAATATGATAATATGCGCTCAAGAAGTTGTCAACGCCACCCTTCACGTCTTCAGTCAGCTAGATGTGAACGGTGAACGCGCTGCGAATGTTGTGAAGCACGTGAGTGTGTGGGATGCACGAGCAGTGTGTCCGTGCTCTACATGCTATGTAACGGGTCTGTCTACTACAGACGGACAACACGTGAGGTGAGGTGTGGTGAAATTGGGTTTTACGTCGTGCTTGAGAATATTTCGCTCATATGACGACGTGCATGCGTGTGTATGTGTATGTGCGGCTGCTTGTACTAGCCCAGACTGAAGCTGGTTTTATAGTGCTAGCCCACTGAGGTACCATGCCGCAGTGAAGGATGAATACCCCACTCAGACACATTATACTGACTCCGAGCCGACCAGTCCTTGTTGTACCAATTAATGCCGAGCGCCAGGCAGGGACCAACAAGTACCATATTTTAACGTCTTTTGGTATGACGCGATCGGGGATCGAACCCGCGACCTTCCGCTCTCCGGGCAGACGCTCTAACCACTACACCACGGAGGCGGTCAGACAACACGTACTTACAATAGATCGTCCATACAGGTAAAATGTTAGCTTCCTCCGATGATAACGAGTCCCAGTGTACCAACTTGGTTTGTATGCATACTATGATTTTGCTTGCTTGGTTCCTCATTTCATTAAAATGCACATACAAATACACATTTGTTTGCATCTCTAACCAGGTGTAATCTTGAATACGAGTGGACGTTGCTTAGCATAGCATTAAATACATGTATAATACATTGTGTAGTATATGTGCAACATATACAGTATTGCAGTATACATATACAGTAAGGGCTGGACAGAAGGGCAAATAATATCGGTCTGTGACTGTGAGACAGACTGGGACAAGATATGGAAAACCAACAATTTGGACAACAGACCATTGTTTGGGTCATTTAATTGTAAATATAATTCAACTAGCTTAACCTAGATTTCGATATCCTTCGAATGTACATTTGGTTGAAACTGGAAAATATACATTTATCCCGAGACAAGAACGAATGTTTAAATATAATTAAAAAGTATAACAGGACGAGTATTCATTTTGTCTTTTGTCTTCTACCCGTCCCTACTAGACTAACAACTAGACTCTGAAATGAACATATTTTACAGAAAAATAGTTCATAGTAAAAGTGAAAAATGTAATAAAAAGGAGCCCTGAGACATTCTCCGGAAGCTGTGGAAATCTACACTTGCCACATTTTTCTAGACTTGCGTGGGCTTGGATATATTTGCTTCAGGGTCTATATGACAGACTACGTCCCTACATACGCTCAATCACATGTGTCTCCAGGTCACGGAGAATCATTGGTGCAGGGGCCCATATTGCAATTCTCGCGCGTTTGCATGTGTTGTTGACGCGGCATGGACGCCTTGAAACATAACTATTTGATTATGATTCACAAACACATGCTCATGATATGGTCGGAATCATGCCACGGATTAGCAGATATTTATCATGAAAACAGGTTTTAATGTAGGTGGCTTGAAACTTGCTTTTACAAAGGCCAATAGATTCGATCACTATACTTTTCGTTTTACAACTTTTTTTCTCTTAACATGCTGACCTCAAAACTGATTTAAATTCTAATCGCTGATTAAAGAGTAAGACAATAAATAGTATGTCAAATTATCGTTACCATGACAACCCTGTGATATGTCACCTTACGTAAGAGAGCTATAAATACGATGCTGGTCGTGGCAATACTACTGCAGTTGATAGTGTCTGTCGTAAATTTAAATATATTGCTTCAACGCTATCACTAATCACTGGGTATCTATACAACTATATGTGTGATGGAGAAGCACTTGCGTCGCTAGTACATCGCGCACTACCCCTTTCTCTTTTGATCTTCTCAAGCGACTGTTACAAGTTCGAAGAATCCTGGTCAAAGTTGAAAAGTCTTAAGACTATTCCCTACTATTCTGTAACATACACATTGTACCTAAAATGGGTAGAGCTTCCGTTCGGGGGAATATCAGAAGGACAGCGATACATTTATCTCCAATGTTGTAGAAGGCACTCCACTTACTTAGGAAAACAATAACTTAATGAGATATTGCATTCATGTCGGAATCAATATTTTCGGCCCCAATCAGATGTGAACATGATAGGTCTGCGTCTATGTCAGACTTAAGGTCTGCGAGTTGTTTAGCAGCACTTGGGCGTAATAGTGATATAGGCCTGCTCCAAACAACGGAATACAAAGAAACTATTTTTCATTTCATGTCTCACAGAATATATAATTTGATATGGCATTGTTTGTTGTCGCATACTTTTGCGCTAGTGAAACAAATGTGGACAACTTAAAGCTGCATGGCGTTATTACAGCAAAGGATGAGCGGAAGGAGAAATAACATGGTTCAGGCACTGTGAGACTATTAAGAAAGGTCACATCATATTCCCATTATGTACCGCCGAACAATAGTTTACAGTAGTGAGATGAATAAACTTAAGAAATTACGAGTTGGTACGTGTGGCATATTTGGCTGAGCTCTAAGAGAGATAAAGTGCTATTCTGTTGGGACAGCTGGGACACTTGCAAGGACAAAGGGGCAGCTCTTCGCCCTTTTGTTCATCACTCACAAGATTTGCCAACACCGCACACAAAGCGTAACTGATACTTGTAGCAAGAGCGAGTGCAGCTTAATAAGCCATGTTAGCTTGCGTTATACTGCTTTGTTAGTCAGGCTCTTTTGATGATAAGAATATTGAGGTCATGTGAACGTTGATTTCAAACGTACTAAAATGTGTGAAAATGAAATTACATGAACCAAGTAATTCACAAGATGGAAACAAATGATCATCTTGCTTGAGCACAGGTAACATGAAGGTGTATGAACCGTTCATATACATACCCCTGATATCCGGTATGATACATACATATCTAAGGTGTGTAAACATTTGCAAATTTGAAAACTTACATGTGTTTCCCCACCTCAGTAAATTTACATGTTTCCAACCTGAGTAAACTTAGAACGAAATCGGAAATCTCACCACCCATTAAAATTCAAAGGAATGCATCGGAAATACTGTATGATCATGTATTTACTGGGGTATCTGTTTTGCAAATCATGTTTGGAAATACCTGACAATCCGGTCATGGCATACATGAACGAGGTACTTGTGCATACGAAAATGTACGATGAGCATATGTTTAACAGGTATAGATTCATATGAAATATATGCCCGAAGTTAGGAAATATCTGAAAACATATGTAAATCCGGTCATGGCATGTATTTCCTACTGTATTTACGTTTATTTCAATGGTTTACTATCCGGCTTTTGGTCCTGTACGTCGACGTCGACATAGTCGTCGCAGCACAAGGCCTTCTGACTCCACTCTGAGGTCCATCTTTTGATAAACGATTACGAATGGTTTGTGCCGACGCTCAAATCAGTCACTGCACGTGCAGTTGCAGTTGCTGTGACAGTTCGATTCCTTAGATTAAGTACCCGGATGTGATTCAGTGGTAATCCGAGGTCTCCCACTTCGAGGCCGAGCTGGGTGAACTCTGGTGAACCTTGAGGTGACAGACTGAGACTCCCCAGCCTCTAGATTCCAATGTATTATTTTACAGCAGTGAGTCGCGGCATATAGATAATCTTTCATTTAGCTATCTAAAAACAATGATCGTCTAAAAACAAAACGACCTTCTACAGGCAATGTCTCTGCCCGCGATTCCTCAGAACTGAAGTTCTTGGGGGGAGTTCTTTTCTTTTTCGTTTTTCTTTTCCGTCATCACAGTTGCTCATCACGACGACAATCATCACTAGAATGCTGAGAGCACTGTTACGTATTTCTGACATTTTACATATCCTTATGTTAGCACATTCATATATGCTACATTTTTTTCCTTGTAAATTCTAAGATTAAACTGGCAGTAACTCTACTTATCTAACTTGTGCAGTTCAGTCAATCATTCTGAAAAGTACTATTGATTTGGGTGAATAAAATCAGCCGTGACCTCTCTACTATTTCAGTCTAGAGAAAATAAATAATTAAATAGTTCTTTGGTTTACAGTGCCATAATCATTTATTTCATTTATTCGTCGTTAAATAAACTTTGTTAAAATTGCATGTATCAATCTACATCACTGATCATTTAACACATGGATAACTTATCTGCATGTATGGAATAATTGACAAGTTCTCTACCACAAATATATATTTCAATTTGGTTATGACTGGTTATGAACTAGGACTGACTGACTGAGTTTGGTTTTACGCCGCTTTAGCAATATTCCAGCAACATCACGGCGGGGACACCAGAAATGGGCTTCACACATTGTGCCCATGTGGATGATCAACTTCTTTATTACGGATTCGAACCCGGGTCTTCGGCGTGAAGAGCCAACGCTTTAACCATTAGGCTACCCCACCGCCCCTTATGAACTAGGAAGGATAACAATATATGGATGATCAACTTCTTTATTACAGTGACGTTCTAACATGGTCAGTCTCGCTGTAATAAAGAGGTTGTTCATCCATCTATTGTTATCCTATATTATTACAGCTCCAACGTCTAAATGCCCTCAATATATGGATGATCAACTTCTTTATTACAGTGACGTTCTAACATGGTCAGTCTCGCTGTAATAAAGAGGTTGTTCATCCATCTATTGTTATCCTATATTACAGCTCCAACGTCTAAATGCCCCTCAATATATGGATGATCAACTTCTTTATTACAGTGACGTTCTAACATGGCCACTCTCGCTGTAATAAAGAGGTTGTTCATCCATATATTGTTATCCTATATTACAGCTCCAACGTCTAAATGCCTTTCAAAGAAGTTAGCTATAAACATGTAAAGTTGGATATGTTGTTACTGAGTGTATTATTTTAGTCAAAACATCCACTGAATTCATGAATGTTTGAAACTTGAGCAACCTGCATCAAAACACTTTCCAAGGCTATGGATGGCTCACATTGACCCTGTCATATGACAAGGTCAATGATCGGATGCTGTTGCAAGCTCGATACTGTGGAGGATCAGAATGATTCGAGGGGGTCTTTTCAGGGAGGGTCATTAATACAATGTACAAAATACATGGGGAAAGTCAAACAAAACTATGACAAACATTACCCGACTGTTATTATATTCAGTACATTAGTATGCAGCGGGGTAGCTACCATTATAAAAAAAGCCCGGGCTTACACATGATTGTTGCTAAAAAGGTTGGGCAAGCCCTCAATACTATCTAAATATAAAACTTTGGAACCTATCGGGCTTACACGAAAAAATTGGCTTGCTGCGCGCCTGGTATGTATATATGTATTTGGATGTAATTTGTTCCGTTTACAATGCCGTACTGTGTTTACAAAGGTCAAGGCCACCGTTTGAGTTTATTCTAACTCTGACAGGGCTGTAATAGCAAGTGTAACGACCTTTAGTGCATATCTGAACTAAGTTCGTATATTGTCCTGTAGTATAATACCTAGTACTATACCGTGGAGACAGCAAACTGCTGACTGTGCAAAACTGTCTGAAGCAAACTGCTGACTGTGCAATACAGTCTGAAGCAAACTGCTGACTGTGCAATACAGTGTGAAGCAAACTGCTGACTGTGCAATACAATGTGAAGCAAACTGCTGACTGTGCAATACAGTGTGAAGCAAACTGCTGACTGTGCAATACAGTGTGAAGCAAACTGCTGACTGTGCAATACAGTGTGAAGCAAACTGCTGACTGTGCAATACAGTGTGAAGCAAACTGCTGACTGTGCAATACAGTGTGAAGCAAACTGCTGACTGTGCAATACAGTGTGAAGCAAACTGCTGACTGTGCAATACAGTGTGAAGCAAACTGCTGACTGTGCAATACAGTGTGAAGCAAACTGCTGACTGTGCAATACAGTGTGAAGCAAACTGCTGACTGTGCAATACAGTGTGAAGCAAACTGCTAACTGTGCAATACAGTGTGAAGCAAACTGCTGACTGTGCAATACAGTGTGAAGCAAACTGCTGACTGTGCAATACAGTGTGAAGCAAACTACTGCCTCAGAAATGAATGTATGTCTCTTTTGTAACCTTTAGCTGTGTATTTTATTAAATGACTCTTCACCTGTTTTTGGAAATTCGACCAAACAGCAGTCTTTCTATTTTCATGAGTTGGTCACAATTGTCTCACAAAAACATGTGAATCTATAAACTTGATGAATTTTCCAAACTGTCTGTCGTAATTATGAGCCTGCATATGTCAGAAAACCAGAGAACCGACTGATCTTTATTCTGAGAAGGTTGTGTAGGTAAGCTTGGCATTTTTTCAGGAACAGTCTAAACATAATTTATATTCCTTGATTTAAATCAAATGGTTGAAAACCTTAGTAAAATAAGCAACATCCTACATCATTTGGCTTTTTTGGCCTACAATTTCGTCATCAAACTCATTTGTGTTTCAAGTTGTTTTCCTGCTAATTTTATGTTTTGCAATTTAATCCCAGGACCCCCCCTCCAATCACAAACACCCCCCACCCCTTCCCGGCCCCGAATATCAAATGGTCAGCGCCTAATTCGACTTACACATGCTATACTCTGTATATCCTTCACTTGACTGACTCTGTTGCAGGGGAGACAGACCAGCGAGTTCCAGCAAGCCATGATGATACACAACGCTGCCTCTATTGGAAGTGAGTTCTGTCGGAATTTGACTGACGTAAACCACGTATCTCACTACCTCAATGTTAACATGGCTGGATTTGTTGCTCTGAATGCCCAGTTTATGCAGGAGTTTAAAGATGTCCCTTCCAAGGTGGTTATCAACATAACGTCCGACTATGCAGTGCAACCTTTGGCCAGCTGGGGACTGTATTGCTCAGGTAAGTAGAGGAGAGAACCTCAGTGGTCCAGTGGACAAAGTGTGTGCATGGTCTGAGGTTCGAGTTTCTTTGATTGCTTCATGAGACGTGGCCTTGGGCTCAACTGCACAAAGCGACCCTAGCGCTAAGACTATCATGAGTCTATGGTGTATGGGAAGTGCAAACTTCGTGGAAGTCGAGTTACAATAACTTTATGCAAGTGGATCCTGTAGTATAATAAGGTGCGGTGGGGTAGCCTACTGGTAAAGCGTCCGTTCGTCACGCCGAAGACCCGGGTTCGATTCATCACATGCGTACAATGTGTGAAGCCCATTTTTGGTGTCCCTCGCCGTGATATTACTGGAATATTGCTAAAAGCGGCGTAAAACTAAACTCACTCATTCACTGTAGTATAACACAACCAGAAGCACCATGAACTGGAAGAGTATGAACCGTGTTTCAGGCAAGGCTTTCCGGGAAATGTTCATGAAGACCCTGGCACTGGAGCAACCCGACTTCCGGGTGTTGAGCTATAGCCCAGGAAGTGTTGACACCGACATGTTCTACAAAGAGGGGATCCAGGAAACGAAAGATGTAAACGTTGTTAAATCCTTAAGAGGTATGTACTACACGGGGTCAATATTTGTGACAAATTATTTTAATTGACTGTTTATTGATTAACTAACAAGGTCATGCTGAAGTTCGGGTTCGATTCTTCACATCCGTACTATGTGTGAAGCTCATTACTGGTGCCTTGATACGTCATATTGCTGGAATACTGGTAAAATTATACTTACACTCATACTCACTCACTCACTCACAGAGGTGTAAGATTTCGAATGCATTGTCTCATCGGGAAAATGAATAAAATATAGTTGTGATAGACAAAACACACTGCATACTAATTTTTCACGACTCAAATTGTCCTTCTTCCACGCCAGGGGCTTCCTTGGCAAATTGTTGCCAATCAGGAGTTGTCTGTCCTTGAAACCTCAATGCACAGGTTACATGTTTCTGAGAGTGATAGGTCGAGGGTTTGTTCCTTCACGCTCCATACCAAAATATGTTTAAATATGGTACATGCTGTTATAACCCTCCTGACACCACTGCATTAAGAGGACCCAGAATTTCAGTCAGCATACTGTGTCTAAATGGGGTGTCCTCCTTAAATCTGTGGTATGGTCTCTCAGTGGACCAGCCTTATAAAACCGGCTTCAATCTGGACCAGCACAGGCAAACACACACGCCATGTAACCACACACACACTACGCACAAGCACCCTGGCGGCACACACAGGTAAGCACGCTTGGTACCATTAGCACAAACTATAGAAGGATGTTTGTTATGTAACAATCTGTTACATCTTTTGATTATTCTTATTCGCCGTTCTTATGTCTTTGTCCTCAGTTTGATAGACATTGATTTCCAATATGACCAGTTCTAGTTGGCCCCATGACATCACCATGAGTCTTACCCAGTGACCATTATATCTAAATCTGTCCTTGTTGCTTTCTGTTTTCTTTCCTACCTGAAATATAAAAAAAGTCTTTTATTCAGTTTTCTTCGCCGCTGTAGAAATCTTTGGTTTTCTTGTTTTTTCCCTCCCACTATATTTCATTCCTAAGAATTCTAAGGGTGTGGACTCTAAAATGGTTAACGTAAATATAACTTTGGAAAAATATCTTTATCAACCTAAACGCCAATGTTATTCTTTTACCAAATATTGACATTTCCATAACCAGTGAATTTCCATGATCATTTCGAAACATTTTAAGAATTTTATATTGTAGTTATCATTTATCAAAACTCCCCTTGAATTCCCACTAACACTACTAAAAATGCAATCAAAACCCCATTCTGCAAGAATATACTTTATTTTTTTGTTTCAAGAAAATGTACATCCTGCAATATATAAAGACAATATTTCTTGAAACGTAGAAAATTAAACTCTCTGATCATTAAGGCTCAATGTACTCATAGCCCTATACTTATTTTACTATCATCATTGCTTATAACAAAAAGATATGTAACAGGATGAACATGTCTGCAAGCATGATCAAACACTGAAACCATATACTGTATATATACTATATGTTTTTCACCATGCTAGACTCATGTGTATATGAATATGCATGAGAATAGCAATGCGAAAAATATTGCAATTGCACACTTCCTCATTCACAACAAAAATATAACATGATACTAAAAATACAAAGTTGAGAAATAAGCACATCCAGTTGGGTAATCTATCCCAATTTCCAGGTTAACAGAGTAGCGAAATGCAGCCATGGTGTTACAATTCTGACCTTGTCTCACCTGAAGAATCCCAAACCAGTTTCACATGTATCAACCAGTTATACATAACTATATATACGTCATGTCTGAGGCAGGGGCGGTGGGGTAGCCTAGTGGCTAAAGCGTTAGCTCGTCACGCCGAAGACCCGGGTTCGAATCCCCACATGGGTACAATGTGTGAAGCCCATTTCTGGTGTCCCCCGCCGTGATGTTGCTGGTATATTGCTAAAAGCGGCGTAAAACCAAACTCAGTCAGTCAGACAGTCATGTCTGAGGCAGAGACACAGCTATAAAGGAGAAACGAGTTTTTTTAAGGACTATAAATAGATCCTTCGGATCGGGAAAATAGTTCATAACAAGTTCTTGCCGATGCCACCCCTTGCACTTGTGGTATACGAGGCGGTGGGGTAGCCTAGTGGTTAAGGCGTTCGAAGACCAGGGTTCGATTCCCCACAAGAGTACAATGTGTGAAGCCCATTTCTGGTGTCCCCCCGCCGTGATATTGCTGGAATATTGCTAAATCGCGTAAAACTTAACTCACTCACTCACTTCTGGTATACGTCCCATCACATGTGCATGATCAGTCACATGATAATTGAATGTCACATGACCGTTCCCAGCACTGTTCACCAATCGTAGTTTCACGCATTATGAGTACCGGTATAAATGAAAGTTCAAGAACACAACGAGAATACATTACCTCAAGAGTGGAATCTGCGAACGTAGACAAATATCCACAGCCATGTATATGTAAAAGATCATGCAAAGATCACAAATAAAAAGTATATACACATGATCTAAAAAAATGTTTGTTGATAAAAAAATAAACTAGGGACAAAACGTATTCACGTTTTCCTGACGTCATAGACGGTACACCGGAACGGACAACTCGGAAATTTACATGACTGAAACATTGCAGGTGTAATGTTTTATTATCTTCTAATCCAAATCAAACTTTAAGTTGGCTTAAACAATCTGGACAGTGAATTATATGTTATTTTCTTTCGACCTACCTACCAAGTTTTCATTATCCATTTCTGTAAGAACCGAGAACGCGAATTCTGCTGCAGGAATCAGCAGCCTAATGAGTATACAAAATGTTGTTGAAGACAACTGTCCCTTTGTTCTTCGTTGTCATATGTTCCAAGAACTAGGCTAAGATGTAAATATATTCCATGGAAATATCATCTTTTTAATGTCACCTGATGAAGTATACATTATATAAGATTTAACTGTTTATAATATGCTACGCCATCTGTATGTTAATTGATGTATTGTAAATATTATCTTGGTGTGTAACATTGTAATGCAGAATAAGTCTGTGGTCTACACAACGAAAGGAAAAAACACTGCGATTCGATGAGAATCAGCACAATGTTTTTCACATGCTGGAAGTATCAGGAATCTTATAATACCTTTCTTGCAGTGAAGATAGTAACAATGCCTTTGTGTCCGTGATCCTACAATTTTTTCAAGCATCATCATTTTCGTGTAAAATTTAAAAATGTTAATAAGATTACTTGATTGAAAGAACTTTTTATATGTTTTTTGTCCTTCAGACGCGGAGAAGCATATCCTTACTCCAGACACTACAGTAAAGAGACTCATCGCCGCACTGGACAAAAACGTCTTTGAAAGTGGAGCTTGTATTCATTACTATGATGATTAGTACCATCGGGCTGGCCACACGGAAACATATTGTGTTTCCGATTACATTGATTATTAAATTAGGACAGACAAGAAGAGAGCTATATATTTAGATGCAGTTGGTAAATAAAAAGAAACTGGTCTTTTAATAGCATTTTTTAAACCTTCCTTTCTTCCATGAATATATAATATTTATTTCCTCCATTCTGAAGAGCACACGGTTCACATAGTATATATATACAATACAATAATTACATATTATTCTTCAAGCAATGGTCGTTGGGCATATGCGCAGTCCGTACCAGATCTGAACGTTCGTGGAACAGTGCTTCATATCTATGTGACACCAACAGATCTCTGGTAGTATCTGTTGGCCATGCGAAACACATACTGCACACAGACTGCCGCGAAAGTGTCTCTGTCATCTGTGCACAGGTTAAAAGTAGTCACACAGGATAACATGCGCAATCATTAAGGTTGTGGAGATGCACACTGATTTCCACACTACCAATAGCTATGATCTCACACCACAGTTCATCGCGGAGGTCAGTCAAGTGATCACAGTACTGGATAATATGGGTAAGAATATCTGTGTAAAACAGACCACACCTATGGCACAAGTCACTACCACCCTGGTTCTCCTTAATCACAGCACAGGTTGGCACCACAAAATTGGCTGCTGCTCTGCAGGCCGGCTTCTTCTGCGCAATCACCCAGGCTTGGTGCACACACAGGTTCGGGTGAATCTGGTGGAACTCATGTAGTCCTGAATCCACTTATCTCTGTCTGTATGACGTCACTTCGAAGTTCATTACATATCTTTTCACAATTTTCTTCCACGCAGTCTGCTTTATGAACTGTCCCGTTTTTACATAAGACTCTAGCTGCTGATGCAAACCGTATTTATGAAGAATTCTCACGATGTCGGGAATAAACCCGTTGACTTCTCAAGCTCATGTCTGAAGCACAGAAGTCTGGTAAGAAACACCTGGTGAGGCAAATAGTGTCTCTTCATATTGATGAGTCTGCCTATATATAACAGCTTTCGAGTATCACAGTCTCAACAGGACAAAGCCCTAGGAGACCAAGACAGATATCTGTCCTGGTTCTTGTTGGCAGATTTTGTATTTTCTTTACTGCATAACGGTATGCTCGTTCGAGCATGGTTATCTCATGTTTGGTGAGACCAGTCCAAAGCTCACATCCATAGAGTGCCTTTGGTAGCACAGATGCTGCAAGTAACTTGCTGGCTGTCATCGGGTTCATTAACTTTGAGTGGAATCCTTTCCGCAACAACACATGTGTGTTTGCTCTCAGTGTGTTACAAGCCTGCAGCACATGCTCGATGGATGACATTCTCTGTGTGAGTACTATGCCTACATGTCTGATGATATCAGTCTGGACACAGGTTCACTGTATAGTGTGATTTCCGGACGGTTGCCCATCGTGTTCGCACTATAGGGAAACGTCATGATCTCACTCTTGCTGGGAGACAGAGTGAAACGCCAGTCATTACTGTAATCCTCACACGTCTGCACACGGCTGTTCAGGGCATGCACATTTGAACTAACAACCGCATTGTCATCTGCTTGAGTAGGTGAGCACATATTCAGATCTAACAACATTGCACCTTTCTTGGTATCAGAGAGTTTCTTCAACAGTCCATCAATATATAACAAATACAGCTTAGCTGAAAGGACTCCGCCTTGGCGAACTCCTTGTAGAAGCTCAAACACTCTAGATTTATGTTGCCCAAGTTGTACATATGATGTCATACTTGTGTACATCCTGTCAATAATGGTCCTCAGCTGTCCGTGAACCCCTGCTTCATACAGTTTGTATCTGAGACCGTTATGCCAGACAGTATCGAATGCCTTCATTGTATCCAACGTGTATATCTTGTTTCCTTTCATGGTATTGATATATAGTCTCTTGCAGATTAAATGACGCTTCTAGAGCTGACAAGCCTGTTTGATACGCCATCTGCTGTTTACTGGGAAAAGTTGCCGTAGACTTCAGCGGTTGTAAGTGTTGTATCAGTTCCATTTCAAATACCTTTCCAATGACAGGCCTGAGCGATATACCCCTGTAGGAGTTCGGATCTTTTCTCGATTTGTTACCCCCTTTGAATATAGGGACCATGACGGATACACACCAGTCTCTCGGAAGACTTCCTGTGTTCACAATAGCACCAAACAGACATGACAGATGAAGCATCAAACATTTCCCACCGTGTCGTAAGTGTTCATAAACCAAACCATCATGTCCTCCAGCCTTCTGGTTGGGGAGTTGCGAACACAGTGCTTCTATGTCTACTGCACTAAATGAAATACATTCACCACTCTCTGTTAAACAACTCTTCCTGATGGTGTCTACTGTATGGTTGACATGCTTTTGAAATGCCCTACTGAAATGTTCCTTCTCAATATCTTGATACACAGCACTGAAGTGAGCCGCCCAAGCTTCTATCATAGCATCGGGAGTGCTGTGAGTAACACCACTATACGTTATAGGCGCCAAGGACGCTTCATGTCCCTTCTGTGCTGTGAGTAACACCACTATATGTTATAGGCGCCAAGGACGCTTCATGTCCCTTCTGTGCTGTGAGTAACACCACTATATGTTATGGGCACTACATGTTATAGGCGCCAAGGACGCTTCATGTCCCTTCTGTGCTGTGAGTAACACCACTATATGTTATAGGCGCCAAGGACGCTTCATGTCCCTTCTGTGCTGTGAGTAACACCACTATATGTTATAGGCGCCAAGGACGCTTCATGTCCCTTCTGTGCTGTGAGTAACACCACTATATGTTATAGACGCCAAGGACGCTTCATGTCCCTTCTGTGCTGTGAGTAACACCACTATATGTTATAGGCGCCAAGGACGCTTCATGTCCCTTCTGTGCTGTGAGTAACACCACTATATGTTATAGACGCCAAGGACGCTTCATGTCCCTTCTGTGCTGTGAGTAACACCATTATATGGATGGATGGCATATCCCCACTGTCAACGCCGTAGATGGCAAGTCCCCATTCTCAACGCCGTAGATTTCATGACCCCACTGTCAACGCCGTAGATGGCAAGTCCCCACTGTCAACGCCGTAGATGACATGTACCCACTGTCAACGCCGTGGATGGCATATCCCCACTGTCAACGCCGTAGATGGCAAGTCCCCATTGTCAACGCCGTAAATGGCATGTCCCCACTGTCAACGCCGTAGATGGCAAGTCCCCACTGTCAACGCCGTAGATGGCAAGTCCCCATTGTCAACGCCGTAGATGGCATGTCCCCACTGTCAACGCCGTAGATGGCAAGTCCCCACTGTCAACGCCGTAGATGGCAAGTCCCCTCTGTCAACGTCGTAGATGGTATGTCCCCACTGTCAACGCTGTAGATGGCAAGTCTCCACTGTCAACGCCGTAGATGACAAGTCCCCACTGTCAACGCCGTAGATGGCAAGTTCCCACTGTCAACGCCGTAGATGGCATGTCCCCACTGTCAACGCCGTAGATGGCAAGTCCCCACTGTCAACGCCGTAGATGGCAAGTCCCCACTGTCAACGCCGTAGATGGTATGTCCCCACTGTCAACGCTGTAGATGGCAAGTCTCCACTGTCAACGCCGTAGATGACAAGTCCCCACTGTCAACGCCGTAGATGGCAAGTCCCCACTGTCAATGCCGTAGATGGTATGTCCCCACTGTCAACGTCGTAGATGGCAAGTCTCCACTGTCAACGCAGTAGATGGCAAGTCTCCACTGTCAACGCCGTAGATGACAAGTCCCCACTGTCAACGCCGTAGATGGCAAGTCCCCACTGTCAACGCCGTAGATGGTATGTCCCCACTGTCAACGCTGTAGATGGCAAGTCTCCACTGTCAACGCCGTAGATGACAAGTCCCCACTGTCAACGCCGTAGATGGTATGTCCCCACTGTCAACGCTGTAGATGGCAAGTCCCCACTGTCAACGCCGTAGATGACAAGTCCCCACTGTCAACGCCGTAGATGGTATGTCCCCACTGTCAACGCCGTAGATGACAAGTCCCCACTGTCAACGCCGTAGATGGTATGTCCCCACTGTCAACGCCGTAGTTAACAGTTTTGTTCGCGTTATACGTGCAGCACCCACTATAGGGTGTACTGTTCGCTGTACCCTGAATAGTAAAGTGTACTTGTAGCACATCAAAGGTTGAAGCTTGAAAGTCTTTTTATTTTGAGTTTCGTTTTTGAGTTAGTTTCAATCCTTGTTAAACAGACCAATCAACAGACATTATCCCTAACTAATTGAATGACACTATTTCTCACTGTCACTGATTAGTCCTTGTGTCGTAATTATGACGCTATTTGAGGTTCTGTAAGTGTACTGGAGTGACAGTGGGACTGTTAAAGCTTGTATTATTCGGGATCCTACCAAAATCACCCAACATATACTGGTTACCTACTACACGAGCACCTATTACACGGATCACCAAGTACATGGATCACATATTACACTGATCACTATTACATGGATCACCTATTACACGGATCACCTATTATATGGATCACCTGTTAGTGGGATCTTCTATTACATGGGTCACCTATTGCATGGATTACCTATTGCATGGATCACATGTTAAATGGATGAACTATAAGAAGTAGCACCTATATGATAGACCCATTAGACTGAGCACATACCATCCATACCATCTTACTGCTTGAGGGAACCTTAGCCCATATGACCTACTCATGGCTTTGGTTTACGTTGGTCTTGTTCATTGTTTAGCAGACAGGGTCCGTACTATGGCATAGTTCATTTATGGTTTGATTTCTTTCAGATACTGGTATGATCTCTATATGTCACTTGATCTGATTTATGAGGAAAAATTGATGTTTTCTATAATCATTTGCAAATTGGAATTGTATGGTAAATAAGTTTAAACATGCGCTGCATATCATCAATATCGTCAGCCTAAATTATCCATTCAGCAAAATAGCATTGGCCTCCAAAGATAAGAACCTGTTATGGTCTAATCTAGTACATGTTTATTCTCTA